TCCCTAGTTTAGAGCCGTTTAAACGCTGCTTGATCTGTGCAGATTTCTCTCCTGATTCAGACCAGAACACTTTTTCACTGGAGGAAGAGTTATTATGGATTATGGACTCTATGGTATTTTAGTTAAAAACGTCTTAATGCTGGATTTGTTTCAGCTTTTGTCTTCTCCAGATGTTAACTGATGGACTGGAGTGCTGTGGATTACTTGTGGATTATTGTGATGTTTTTATCAGCTGTTTGGACTCTCATTCTGACGGCACCCATTCACTTGCAGTGAGACACTGATGCAATGCTACATTTCCCCAAACCTCACCTTGACGTCTCCTCCAGGTGTGGCGCTGAGCGCTAGAACGCGGAACTGCTGCGTTTGGTTGCTCAGCTCACGAATCACCTGCAGAGCGAACACAAGCGATCAGAACTGATCTCCCATCATGCACCGGGCTGTGTCTCAATAAAGCAGGTGAAGCTCTACCTGACAGTACGCGTGGTTCCCGGTGGCCTTGTGTGCCTCGTCGATCACTACACACCTGACGTGTGCGGCCGGACAGGAGTTACGGCTCAGATCGTTCACCATCACCTGAGGAGTCAAGAAGAAGACGCGCTTGGACCTCCAGAGCTCCCGCCGCTGCTGCGCCGCCGTCGAGCCTACAGTAAACACACACCGACATTAGGACTGCGACGAGAAATACATTCTGAGATCTTCTGAATGCATCGCGACTCTCTCTGGAATGGATTCTGAGCTTATATTTTAACAGCAGATGGCGCTCTACTCTAGTTTTTAGCCGCACACTCAAACACTCATGAAGAAGAGCTGAAGAGCGCTTGTGTGTTCGGCTGAGTCTGTAATTTCACCTCGGCTCAGAATGCTTTTATGACGCCAGATTAATGTAAACAGCCCACTGTGAACACCTTTGTGATTCACTTCAACCTTTATGAATTGTATGAATGATTATTTTAGGTTCAAGTGTGTGTAAGGATTTGGCTGTTTCTGACGCATGCAGCGCCATCTGCTGTTCACAACTAAGCTCAGAATCCACTCGAGAAAGAATTGCGACGCATTCGGAAAATCTCATTGATGCATCGGTTTATTTTCCCAGCCGTAACCAACATATGCATCAACATACGCTTAACACAATCCATTCATGATTACAGGTTTCAGCAGTTTATGGAGAACCAGCTGGTGAAGAAAATATTTAAATAATATTTAACATTTAAATAATTTAACATATTCATAATATTAAACAATACATTTTAAATAATAAATAATGTTTATATAATTGAACAGCACATTAATAAACATTAATAATTAATATTATAATTATACATATATTAATATTATTAATTAGAATGACACAATAATATCACCAAAAAAGGTTATTTATTTATAAACCTGTGATTTTGCAAAATTCTATGCAGTGTCATTTTAGTATCATTCATATACTATTATTGTTTTTATTAATACTTAGTTTTAATTTGAATTTTAGTTATTTTGTTGTGCATTTTTGTATTTCTATTTATTTTAAATATGTCTATTATTTATCTATTTATTTTAAATAGTTTCTATTAATTTTCATTACACTTTTAGTTATTTTAGAACACCGAGTTAAACTCATTTGAATTTTCTATGGTTTTAATTGCAGTTGTAGTTAACTATAATAACCCTGCTTCTTTGACATTAAATGGAGTATATATTTATCCACTCCTTTGTAGACTGTAAGTTAAATGATTCATTTTGAACTCTTCTTTTTGTCATTAAAACCTCTGATATTTAACTGCTTTAGTTTTTTTAATAAGTGCTTTAACTCTAATATGTGACCCTGGAGCACAAAAGCAGTGTTAAGTCGCTGGGGTATATTTGTAGCAATAGCCAACAATACATTGTATGGGTCAAAATTATAGATTTTTCTTTTATGCCAAAAATCATTAGGATATTAAGTAAAGATCATGTTCTATAAAGATATTTTGTAAATGTCCTACCGTAAATATATCAAAACTTAATTTTTGATTAGTAATATGCATTGCTAAGAACTTCATTTGGACAACTTTAAAGATGATTTTCTCAATATTTAGACTTTTTATTATAAAAGTATTATTTTGATAAATTGAGCAGCCCCATTTATTTACTTTAATGTTAAATTAGACATCATTCATTAACTCCTGCACTACAGTCTGATCGGGGACCGGTCCCTATGACCTTCTGATAATAATAATAATAATAATAATATTAATAATGACCTGTGAGCTCGGCCATGTGTTCCTGCGGGATGCCCATGACCCCGTGGCAGGCCTGGATCTGTTGGGCCACCAGCGGTTTGGTGGGAGCCATGAAGACGATCTTGCCGGAGGGGAACCAGCGGTAGAAGTTGTACATGAGCACCGAGGCGATGAAGGTCTTGCCCAGGCCGGTGGGGAGGCAGACCAGCGTGTTCTGCAGCAGTGCCGCCTCCGAGATCCGCAGCTGGTACTCGCGGAGCGGGTAATTAATGGGGTAGATCCAGACGCGGCCCGCCGAGGGGTCAAAGCCCAGCTCCGGAGCGGCCTGCAGCGAGCGCTCGGCCTCGTACACAGCCACCAGCATCACATCATCATCATCCTCATCTTCATCAGGAGCCGCTGCGGGATCTGGGGGTATTACAGAGAGCAGGTTATGTGGCTCATACGGGGATGTTTAAGGGCAAGTAAGCAGATAAACTCAGTATTCGGTTCCAAAAACGGAGGTAACTTTCAGTTAGGGCTGGGCGGTATATCAGGTTTGTAAGATATATCGATATTTTCTTTATAAGCGATTAGATATGAGGCATTACCGTTTATATCGATATACAGTAGTTTGATACGAGCACATCTGAAAATACAGCGGAGGACACAGACTGAGCTGCTGCGGAGAAACTGCATAATCCAGTTTGTTCTAAATAGGGTTGGGTACCGAAACCCGGTACCAATATGGCACCGGTACCCATGTAACCGGTATGTACTAGAACCGAATCAGTCACAAAATCTGTGAAGAATCAAACGTAAATTTTTTCTGCAATCATACACTTTGGGTGCAGTAAAAAGCACATTTTTCTTAGGTTGTGCCTTTAGCCCCGTTGTACCCTACTGTTAAAAGTTTTAGGCACTTGTGTAAAACTGCTGTAAAATGAGGATACTGTCAAATATAATGTCATAAATATATTTTCTTTATCAATTAACTTCTATTAGCTAAATTACATCAACATTTGCTGTGAGCATCTTCTGCGTTTAAAGCAGCTTTAGCCTCGGTGCACTTGAGCAGTTTCTCAGCGAGGTTTCTTGAAGCCCGTCTCAGTTTGTTCCGTTTCTTCATGTCTAGTGTTTCTCCAGGTGTGTGTGAGGGTGAGCTAACCGTGGTTTCTGGAGTACACACCTGGTTTGGCGCTGGTTTTGCTCTGGTCTCTGCGGCCCCAGGACTGGAATAACGTTCTCTGATGGGCGCTCATTGTAGAATCACCTCATCTTCATCTTCGGTGGATATTAACTCACAAACGCGACTAAATCCTTGTCTGAGCGAGCATACCGCGACGACATCAGACGCGCTGAAGCGCTGCGTGTTTATTAACGCTCATAACCGAAACATAAGCGGGTTTTAATATTCCAAACAAATGTAAACACAGCAGAGCGCGCGAAACGGCGGCTCGAATGTGGCGCGTACGGCTGACGTCACCGTGCGTGCGTGCGCATGCGCAGACGGAGAAAGCGTGTTCAGACGTCCACGTTCGCTTTTGAGTTGAATCAATAATATATATTTAATATATATAGAACTGATCATTTATTTTTAATCATTAAGCTCATCATGTGTAAAAAAAAAATAATAATGTGAAAACACCGGCAAAAGCCTACGCATTAAATGACCTTAAATCAGAAAGTGAATTATTCTTTCACATAAACAAACTATGAAGATCTAAAGAAAACTAATGAAGAGAGTGTATAAGTGCGGAAGGATCACAGAACACGTGTTTACAGAAATAAGACACTTTATTATATAGATAAATCTCTGTCTCTGGGATATAATTAAATGTGAAATCTCATGAAGGCTGTTCTGGAGTGACTGGCACTAAACTGAGAGCTAGATCTGGACATGAGCTCACCTGAGTTCTTCTGATTCACTCGAACACATCCAGAGCGCACACCCGCATCCCTCCGGGTCCAAATGCTGATTTTCCTCTTGTTTTTAAAAACCCAACAATAAATTCAATCATGCAAATAATCTAGGACAGGTCGCACTTAAAACAGGCCATAATGAAGTCAATATAAAGTCAATATAATATGAACTCAATAAAAAAAAAGGATCGACCGTCACGCAGAGAACACGCGATCATGCAGGATACACATACACGCTTCACAAGATCTCAACTAGATTCGACCAAGTTTGCAAGGTTTTTGAAATTAGCTGTTTATTAGACATTCAAAGATTTGTTTAAATGATATAAATGCGTATTTGCTGAACAAATATCGGTCGACCACTAACACACACACACACACACTGTCTCACAGACACACACACTGTCTCACAGACACACACACACACACACACACACTGTCACACAGACACACACACACACACACACTCTCTCACACAGACAGACACACACACACACACACACCTCTGCAATGCTCTCCAGCCTAACACTCACAGAACTACTATACAGTTTTTGCCTATTGCTTGAACACTTTTTGCAAAACTTCGGCTCAACACTGTAACCAACAGGGCACATTCTGGGAAGTTTGTGTGCATTAATCATATTTTTTCAAATAAAGCCAAGGTAACACTCATTTTACATACAGCACACAGTGACATGAATATGACAGCGGGCAAATGCAGAGTTTAAAGTTTGTCGATTGTGCGTCTCCAGTGAAGCTGAACTCTCCTCCTGTCCGTATTCACACGGATCGACCGTCACGCAGAGAACACGCGATCATGCAGGTCACATGCACACTTCACAAGATCTCACAACTGGATTCGACTAAGTTTGCAAGGTTTACAAAACAACATCGGAGTGATTGTGCATTTAAAGTGTGGAATCTCCATGAAAGTGCAAAGCGTCAGATGGTCAGACAGAGAGAGAGTGTTTATTGACCCGTGTGTTAGAGATGGTCAGTCAGGCACTGTGGGTCTGTGTCCAGGAGGATTGAGCGGCTCTCAGGAGCTGGTTCAGGTCGCTCTGCACGTTTGCAGGCTGTGAAGCGGCGGCGTTCTCCAGCAGCATCTGGCCCATGTGTGCATGCAGCGCCTCGGCAAGCTTCGCTGTGGCCATCCGGACGTTTCCTCCGTTACAGGAGGAGCGGAGCAGCGTCCAGAAGAGCGGGAGAACCTTCTGCTCCACCAGCTGCGGTCTGTGCGGGTACAGCTCCGTCACCAGCTCTGAGAAACAACACAAACATCACGCTTTCAGCTCCACACACGCTTATTACTGGGGTCTGGTGAAGAGGCATTCAAGAGCTTTTTAAGACCAAGGAAAGAAACTGAAAATGAAATATTTAAATACAAATAACAAAAAGGAATGACAGAACATATGAAGTCTTGTTTTCTGAGAAATTGATCAAAATGAAGTCAGTTTATGATTAAAATATAAACACATGTTGTATCTGTCAGTGGGGTAGGGCTGCATGATTTGGGGGGAAAAATCTAATTTTCTAAATCTAAATTTCTAATTTTTCTGGTAAAAATTGTGATTTAAAAAAAAGAAGATAACTCCAGGTTTGTTGTGCTTGTTTGTAGGGCTGCACAATTTGTGCTTAGACATCAACATGAATAATAATAATTATTAAAGATAAAAAAAAAATATCAATTACAAGATAAAAAAATAAATATAATAATAATTTGTATATTTTAATAATTTTACAATAATAATAATAATAATAATACTGCAGGGTGAACCGTTAACATGCAGGAGGCCTATGACTATAACTCATTAAAAAGGTCTAAGGTTTTATTATATAATAGTATTTTATCATTATAAAAATCTGTGAAAGTAATTTCTTGTCAGAAGGTGTGCACACTACGCATATATTTAATTCAAAATCACAGCCTTTGCCATTTCATAATCACACTAAAGCCGAATCTTGATTTGAGTTTTATTTCGAGTAGTTGCGCAGCCCTACAGAAAACTCAACTTAATTCAAAGGAAAAACATGTTTTCATTCCCCACTGACAGATATTTGTTCTTGTTTTAATCAAACTCACTTCATTTTGTTCAATTTCTTAGAAAAAAAGACTTGTATCTTCATTTTACATCTCCAGTAAATGTATCTTGATTTAAGGATGTTTAGATATTTGTACACAGGAAAACAAGAGAGAAATACTGAGGAAGAGATTTAGTTTTGCAGTGATGCAACATTTAATGCCAAGACTTTATTCATTTCACACTTTCTGCTCTGATTTAAGAGTTTTTAAGGCTTTATTTTGTGGAAGGGTGAATAAAGAGCTGCAGAAGCCCTCGTCTGGACTGACCTGCGACTCTCTCGATGAGGTCCAGCTTGGCTTTCCCGCTCAGATACTGGGCTTTGGAGCAGAAGGGCTGCAGCAGGAGGCTGTTGTCTGAAACACAGAGTCAGAGTCAAACGCACTGAAGATCAGCTCAAATCAGTCAGAGCCTCAAAGCCAAACTCAACGCACCGATGTTGTGCATCAGAGCCTGAACGGCTCCCAGCGCCGCCGTGGAGATGCTGCTGTTCTTGGAGTTGAGGTGATTGTCCACGACGGCGGGGATCAGGAGGTTGAGCACTGGAGCCAGACTGTCTCTGAGCAGAGCAATGATGGGCTGAAGAGCCTCCAGAGCCCGCAGGTTCACCTTACTGTTGGACTCCTGCAGACGAGCCTTCAGAGCGTCAAACACCTGCGGCAGACCGTCAGCAACATTTATATATATATTTTTTATTTATTTTATACAGTATAAATTATTAGTTATTAATTGAAACAAGCTGAAAATCAGTGAAAGTTGATTTGATTGGAAGGTTTTATTGAGTGCCCTGAATCAGGGATCTGTGGCGTCTGACAGGTTTAGTTACCGGGAACAGGCTGCCGATGACCAGAGCCGGGTTCTCCTCGCAGTCGCACACCAGCTGATCGATGGCCTTGATTCTCTCCCTGAAGTCTTTGGAGTTGAGCAGCGTCTTCATCTGTTTGACGTACTCGCTCCGGTCCGCCAGGCTGTGCACGGCCGCTTTACTCACCACCTGCCCACAATCCCTGCTGCCGCTCAGAGGCTCACGCGTGAGGGACGAGGTGCGCACCAGCCCACTGCCTGGGAGAGAGCGCCTGCCCCGCGCCGACGGAGCGTCCTGAGGCATCTCCCCCAAACCCTGACACATACACACACACACACACACACACAGGGGAGTTTAACACTGAACACTGGTAGAAGACAGTCTCAGCCTTAGACACGCCCACAATCACACCCAGACACGCCCGCAACCACACCCACTGACACGCCCACAACCACCCATGTACACACCCAATGACACGCCTACAATCCCACCAGACACGCCCATGTACACACCCACAATAACACCAGCCACGCCCATGTACACCCACTGACACGCCCATGTACACACCCACTGACACGCCCACAACTGCCCATGTACACACCCACTGACTCGCCCACAATCACATCTGACTCGCCCACAATCACACCAGACACACCCACAATAACACCAGACACACTCATGTACACGCCCACAACCACACACCCATGTACACACCCTGATTGATGGCCTTGATGGCCTTTAGTTTAATTTGATGTACACGCCCACAACCCCACTGACACACCCACAATCACACCAGACACGCCCATGTACACACCCACAATCACACCAGACACGCCCATGTACACACCCACAACTACTCACGTCCATGTACACACCCACAATCACACACACGCCCATGATTACACCCACAATCACACCAGACACGCCCATGTACACGCCCACTGACAGCTTCTAAGGAGGAACTTTGTTTTTGAGGTTCTCAGTAGCACATAATCAAGATAAGCACAAACCTAGACTCAGAAAAATTATAATTAATAAAAAATATAATTTAAATAATTTAAACAATTTAAAATTACAGTGATACAATGATTTTTTTAATTAAATCAGCATAAATATAATATAAATATTAATACAAATAATGATATAAATATGCTGATTTGCAAAAACAAACATTTATTTTTTTTACTTTCAATGTTGAAAACTGATAAATTTGTGATAAATTTGTGGAAAGTGTGATTAAAAAAGAAAAGAAAAAAATTAATTAATACTTTCATTCATCAAAGACACATTAAATTGATCAAAAGTGACAGTAAAGACATTTATAATGTTACAGTAGATTTCTATTTCAAATAAATGCTGTTCTTTTGAACTTTCTATTCATCTGTGAATTCTGAAAAATAAAATGTATCACGGTTTCCACAAAAATATTGAGCAGCACAACTGTTTTCAACATTAGAACATTTCAACACAGAAATAAATTACCGTTTAACAGATATTCACATAGAAACAGCTAGCTTAAGTTGCAATAATATTTCACTATTTTTACTGTATTTTTGATCAAATAAATGCAGCTTTTTTCGAAAACGTGAAAAAACAAATCATACTGACACCAATATTTTGAGCAGTAGTGTACATATGCAGGAAAACGGTTAGCTGTGTTTGTGAGGGGTTTTGTGCACACCTTGGTTTTGAGAGTGAAGACGGCGTCTCTGATGGTCGGCAGGTCTTTAGCAGGGACGAACTTCTCCAACATTTTATCAAAGTCACGGTGAGAGGACAAAAACAGCAGCATTTGTCGACCAAAGTACCTGAGAGAGACACAGCAATGAAAGCGTGAAGCGCTGAGGCGAGAGCGTGTCAGGCTGCGTGACCTCTGACCCCTGCGCCGCTCACCTGGCCTCCTGAGACGAGTCCTGCACCAGCTTACAGACGGCTGGTAGGATGCGGTCGGTCAGATCTTTAGCTCCAGACAGCAGACGAGCGGCTCCGACCCGCTCCACCAGACCGCTGAGATGCAGAGCCGCACACTTACGCACTACTGAGTTCAGATGACTATGAATGGAACACACACAGACGAGCATTACAAAACAATATCTCCAACCCTGTGCATGAAATAACAGTCAGAAAAATATAACTATTTGTGATGGAACAGTCAATGTTTGCATGTGTGTTTTTGTTCAGTATCATATTTGCTCCATCCAGCATTTATGGCTCATATAGTCTGATACAGTGAGAATATGGAGGAAAAAAAGCTCAGTTTGCTGCAGATGCTGAAATGTATATGCTGAAATTCTGATGCTTGTGATGTAACTCAATGAGATCTTTATAACAGTAGAGCAGATACTGACATAAAATTATCTAAATATCAGGCGTCGCTCTATATCACCAGTAATCTGTCTCAGTAAGATGAGACTCAAACGCTCCAAACATATAATGCAGTGATTGAGAGCTGAAGAAATAAAGGCTCCTCAGAAGATGTGAGATGTTCTGGAGGCTTGTGAAGATCATTCCTCCGCTGAGGAACAGTGAAAGTAAAGCTTCTGGAAACAAACGCTCCTCAAAAGATCCTGAGGATCAGATTTGAGACTCTAAAACATGATTGATGGAGAATCAACTAAAGCTGAGCTGCTTCAGTCCAGTAAGAGTTCATCTGGAGATATTACTGCAGTTATTCTGACCTTTACTTGAGAAAAACCAGTCAAGATCTGACACGAGAAGCTCCAGCTGAAGCCTGAGCTGCTTCAGTCCAGTAAGTGTTCATCTGGAGATATTACTGCAGTTATTCTGACGCTTACTTGATCAAAATCAGTCCAGATTTGACTCGTGAAGCTTGAGCTGAAGCTGGACGTTTCTACAATTACACTAAAAGAGCTTTTACTGGATAAAACACTCTAAACTCTCAATCAGAGACAGAAGACGTGCAGCAGATTGAGTGACAGCAGAGTTTGATCACTTCGAGGCCTGTAGGTGTGTGTGTGATCATGTGACGCAGGTGATTTCTGACCCGAGTCCTCCGGCGAGCAGCGCGTTCATGCTGCGTGTGAGAGTGCAGTGCTGCACCATGCTCTCCAGTGCTCGCTCCACGTCTTGTCTGATGAAGGCGTTGCATTCTCCGGCTTTCTGCAGCAGAGCTCTGACCGTCCCATCCAGCTCCTGATCCATTCCCTTCTGCAGCACCGCGAACATCTCTCCCAGCGTCACCACAGCCACACGAGACACGCCGGAGCGCAGGTTACGAACCTTCATCAGAGAGAGACACATCAGATGACGCATGATCAGAATAATCACACGACTGCCTTCTGTAGAGCTGCTTTACAGCTGAAACTAGTTCCATCATCGATACATTTTGCAACATTAACTATGTTTCCATTCACCTATTTTTATGCACATTTTGGAATATTGCATAAAAAAAACCTTGGATGACAGCATTTATTGTGTTTCGTCTGCTCGTTCTGAGGCGCAAGTCATTTATCTAGGGATGCACGATATTATCGGACTGATATCAGCTGATAATGGCTTTAAATGTAAATATCGGCATCGGCCCGATATGAAAAATTATGCCGATATATCTTGCCGATAAGAGGAATACATTAACTCACATGTGCTCAGGGTGTGCTAGTGATTAGATCACGATCAAGATCAACAGTGTGGCTCATTCTTGAAGCAAAGTTTTGTCTGAATGATGATTAGATTGACTGTTTGGATCGCTGCATTTATTCTGTGAAAGCACGTACAGAATGACGCGTTCGGTGTGTGATAGAGTAAACCGTAATAGCACGTGCAGTGGGTCCTAATGCCCGCTCAGTAAAGAGTTTTAATCCGTAGGGGGCGCTGTTGGCCTACTTCTAATTAAATTAAATGTAAAATAGCCTACACAAATAACATTTAGACTGTTTCTGATTAAATAAAGCAGTAATTAATGTCATAAAATAATGAGTATGTTTTGATTTAAAGGTCAGAAGCTATAGCTTACATACATAAAAAAAAAAAAAATCACAAACACGACACTTGTAAATTAAATAATTGTATACTGATTTATTCATTAATGTGTAATATGTTTTATTTTTTAAACAAATCATAAGCTCTAAAAGATTTTCAGAATTTGTACAACTCTTTTGCTTTAGACCATCTACAAATGTTAAATCTTAAAATAAAATGTTAGGGTTAACCTTGCCTCTTTCTGGGAGGAAAAAAATGCAGCGATTGATATATAGTTTATTTATAGTTATTTTCAAAGCTTCGAGACTTCATCGGCCAAAATTTGTTAAAAAATATCGGTATATCGGATATCTGCAAAAATCCAATATCGTGCATCCCTAAATTTATCATATATGAAAATTATTATATTCAGTGGCTTCTCCTATTTTTCTTAGTGATATTTAGTGCCAGTTTACCAGGAAGTGACGATTTTGCTTTATACGCAAATGTTTTATGCGATATTCCAGTTTTGTGCAGAAGTTTAATTCGAATCTTTGGATGGAAACATAGCTATTAACACTTTGGCTGGCAAAATGGCTGAAAAACTAAATTTTAATTTTGTACTTAAATATTATCAATATTCAAATTATATTGGAATTTAAAAGGTATAACTTCAGTTAGGGGGAAAAAAGCTTTTGGCTTCTCTCCAAGAGGTCGCATCGAGCAAAATATTACTAATGCATGTTTATTCAAAGCAATAAAATAACATGACTATCTTTGGAAAAAAAAAGTGCATAATGTTTAAAATGTTTATAAAACATAAGTTGCTTAAACAAATAGAACCAAAACACATTTTATATTTAAAAACATGAGATGCAGTGGGACGGGGAAAAACCACCATAAAGTCTCGAGACGTGTATTTTTAAAAGTTGAACTTACATTAATTTTAAGTGGCTTTCTAAACACGCGGCTCTCTTGTGCGAGACTGATTTGGATTTTTATTTTGAATTCGACAAATATTCGAAATTCTAATTTTTATTGGACCGCCCTCCTGTGTATCACTGCGAAGCTGCTCTGAAATGATCTGTATTGTATAAAGTGCTATAGAAATAAATGTGACTGGTCTTGAAATGAGTTGTGAGCGTGAGCTGCAGTGACTGACCTCCTGAATGAGAGCGAGACACACGTCATGAATCCTGCTCATGAGCACGTCAGGATGATACTGAGCCAAACTACGCAGGAAGTTCATCCCCTCGATCTTCTTCTCCCTTCATGAACACAATATATTTACGCTAACGACTTTACAAGAGGATCTGTCGATCTCTATTTGTGTGTGATGATGAACGAGCACACCTGTGTCGATGCTAAACACAGACTCACCAGTCGTCTGCGGCGATCAGTCTGAAGCTTTGCGTTAGCGCCAGCTCCGGTTTAGAGAACGGCCGCAGGTCTGCCTGATCCTGACCCTCTTTCTTCAGACTCCCAGTAATCAACTCATCTGATGGACAGACATGAACAACTTTATTATGATCACACACGCCGAGACAAACCTCAGCGACAGACTGATTATATCTCACATGACATTTATGAAGTCTGTAGAAGCTTTTATCCAAAACAACTCGCAGTGCATTCACGGTAAACATGTTATAAGTGTGATCCCTGGGAACTGAAGCCATGACCTTGTTGAGATAGATCTACAATTTACTGACTAAAGCTGCGGTCACAATTTTGCAAGGGGAAAAAAAGGCCATTTGTGAATAGTGTAATGATATATGAAGCACGGTCACTTTCAAATCAAGCAGCTTTCTGTGGGTCAATGCAGTGAATTTGCATGACTAAGTGAAAGCGATGTGAAATTTGCATGTGGAAATCTTTTAGTTTCCTATTAAAATTAAAATTAATTTGGAGTTTTAAAATTAATTAAAACTTACCAAAAAGCAGTAAATGTGAGCGAATTTAGTGTTAGTTGCATGTAGTATCACTACTGTTCAAAAGTCTGGGGTCAGTAAGATTTTTCTGAAAGAAGTCTCTTCTGCTCACCAGGGCTGCAGTTATTTGATCAAAAATACAGTAAAAATTGTGAAATATTATTATGATTTAAAACGGATGTTTTCTCTGTGAATCTCTGTTAAACTGTAATGTATTTCTGTGATGCGCAGCTGTATTTTCAGCATCATTACTCCAGTCTTCAGTGTCACATGATCTTCAGAAATCAGTATAATATGCTGATTTGCTGCTCAAGAAACATTTCTGATTATTATCAATGTTGGAAACAGTTGTGCTGCACAATATTTTTGTGGAAACTGTCATACATTTTATTTTTCAGGATTCACAGATGAATAGAAAGTTCAAAAGAACAGCATTTATTTGAAATAGAAATCTTTTCTAACATTATAAATGCCTTTACTGTCACTTTTCATTCATTTAATGCATTCTTGCTGAATAAATACAGTAATTAATTTTTTTTAAATCTTACTGACCCCAAACTTTTGAACAGTGATGTAAAGTCTGAAGTAGATTTGAGTAAGTGTTTGTGTGATTTTATTGCTCGCTGCACATACAGTGTGACGTGTATATTTTCTCTCTCACCGGAGCTGTGTGATGCAGGCGGTCTGATCCGGTTCAGACTAGACACTCGTCTCAGTCGTGGCGCTGCGTTCCTATTGGGCAGGCTGGTCGGGGGGGCGGGCTGATGGGCGGGGCTTAGATATTTCACTGGATTCTGCGATCCAGTCGGGCAGGAGGGAGATTCATCAGAGAGCGACTCGCATCCGTTCAGACTCACGTCTGGAAACAAACCATAAACGGTGAGCACAGAGACGACAGATGAGCGATGGCCGTCACTGCTGTTGACCTCTCACCTTTCACATCGTTGATGAGCACGCGGCGTCTCATTGGGTCCTGAGCGGGGGGCGTGTCCTGCTGATGCATCTTGTCGCTCGCAAACTCGGAGAGTCTGACTCTCTCCTGTAACGCACACAGATCACGTGACTCAGGATCACAGCGGAGGCTCGATTTAAAGGGGTCAAGACATGAGAAACCAAATTTCCCTTGATCTTTTGACACAGAAGAGGTCTTTGTATGCTTAATACATCCTGCAAGTTTCATAGCTTAAAATGTCCTCCGCATTATAAACAAAGCATTTATTTAATCAAGCTCCAGAAGCAGCTCGTTTGGATCTGAGGTGCAAGGTGACGTCACAGGGCACAAACATTTGCATAAACTCCGCCTCCAGAGCGACACGTCGGCATAGGCCCCGCCCACTGGCGTTCAGTCGCTAACGGCTTGATCAGCTGAATGCGAGCGTCTCGTCAAAAGCAAATAGAAACTACAATCAATGCGCTATCTTGTCTACACTGGATACAGTAAACAGATGCGATTCTCTTTCTGACACAGTCCAGCGCTCGAGTCTGTCGTCAGGACAAATGCAGTGAAATGCAGTCTTTGTACAGATATCAGAAGGAGCCCAGAGTAAGGAACAAGTGGACAGTTTATTTTAATGGCGTCCCGGATCGTGCCGGAGGATTTTGTTTTGTAATCGAGGCACAGTGTCATGGAGAGTCACAAAGAAACATGTGTTGAAAGATGCAGGGCTGTCAGTCAGCGGCTGTGGGCGGGGCCTATGCAACGTGATGTCACATTGCATAGAGAATCAAAACGGCAGGCCTAGTGAGACTGATTTGGTTTAATGGGGATTAAAAAA